TTTTCTTTTATTTTCTGAATATTTCACACCCTTGTGTGGAAAATGTTAGGATAATATTTGTCGAACAATTTGACATTTCATTAATGTGGAAAATGATGCCATCACTTGTATAAGAATTGTAACTTGCTTCATGACTAATGATGAACACATCATCATTGGTCAGCCATATTGATGCAATGATTTTCTTTGTATGTACAAAATGTAGCCTGTCACTTATATTAGGTTTCCAAGTGCTGATTTTTTTGTAATGCTCAACTTTGCTCCATGCACAAGGTGATTAGCAACAACAGCATGCATATTCAGGGCTCGAAATACACATTTTTCTTACCTTACATATTCTTAGAAATAAAAGCCTTTTATGAATAAGCAAGAAGCATTAAAAAAATATATATTTTAGCCTCTGAATCAACTCCAAAATGCTCATACTTTGGCCCCAACAGTTGAAGGAAGTCAATCTTTTCAGAGTTGTTGCAGTTTTTCCATCTATCGTGAATGCAAAAGGGTTTGAATTTCATTGTTTTAATTACAAAACAGCCTGGTATGTTAACCTCATGGCTCCTACCATAGAATTTGGTTATCATAGACTGCCTTATAGCTAGGTCTGTTTTTATTTTTTTTTTTTCGCCCTGTCGCTTAATATTTTTTCAGAAAAAATCAAATTGGTGTGGCCTTACATACAATTTGAAATAATTAAAATAATATGTATTCGAATTTGGAGTTTCTATTTCCTACCCTGGTAAAGTGATGCTAAACTTACTTTTAAAATGTTACAACAAAGCAAAATGTGGAATGGCCAATTCATCCTCATACAATTGCAAAGGCGTAAGCTTGGACTTTTTCACATATTGGCATAATACTAAAAGCAAGGACATTATACTGTAAAATGTCCTTGCTAAAGGCAACAAGCTGGAAATTTGTTGCTGTTTTAGTGGGTGGGTGTTATTTGCTTGTTAAGTCCATTCTACGTAAAATGTCAGTGATAGTTTCCTACTTGTTTGCTACATTTTTTTTTTCATTTTCAATCAAAGACATGCTACAGCTCTATTTACAAAAAGCTTCTTCACAGGAACCTTAGTAGTTTATAGTCAGCACGCTGATGTACATTTAAGTAGTAAGTAGGCCTTTTTGGCCCATTTGGCCCAAACTGCAGTTTATAAGCCGCCGTAAGGTGGCGCTGTTTGGGGTCAGACTAGGGCAGGTGCAGTTTATAAGCCGCCGTAAGGTGGCGCTGTTTGGGGTCAGACTAGGGCAGGTGCAGTTTATAACCTATCGTAAGGTGGCGCTGTTTGGAGGTGTGTTTATGCATAATAGGTTAGCGGATTAAATGAAATGAAATGAAATACCTTTATTGTACATTCATGCCACGACGGGCTAGGTACAGGTCAAGACTTAACAGACACATAACAAACATTCGTAGAAAAATGTAGACAAAAGATACACTGTTTGACTTAGACATACATACGTAAGGAACATACAAGGATACTATACTAGGCTAATACAAGGTGTTCTAGTTACTGAGCTAATACAGAGTGGTCAACTTCTTCTCGCTTGTATAATGGAAAATGTGGGAACAGATCATATTTGTGATACAGGGTTTGTCTAGACGCATCAAAAATATAAATTTATCGTTTGCACTTAGGTGTTCAAAGTATGGGAACTTCTCTTTGATATGATTAAAAAGGACAGATCTTTCATTAGAATATAAAGTACAGTCTAAAATAAAGTGTTGTTCATCTTCTATTCTATTCATGTTACAGTATTGACAGAGTCTGTTCTGGAGAGGAATGCGGTTGTGCCGTCCCGTTTCTATGAGTAATTTGTGGCAACTTATTCGGAGTTTTGTTGCAGCTACCCTGTGTTGTATGTTGTTAATCGATAGGTACTCTTCTTCTTTATAAATACTTTTAAACAAACGGTACGTTCGTAACTTGTTACTAGAAGATGTACCTCTGTTATGGTCATTGTGGATTTCAGTAATAAATGTTTGGTTGTAAATATCTTTCAGTCGTTGGCTGATGGAGTTAATTATTGGTGAAAGGTTTGTGCTCAGAGATATATCAGGACGCCATACATAAGCAAAATCGCATTCCTCCAAAGTTTTACGAATACCGGAGGCCCAGCATTTATTGCCTCTAGTCTCTAGTTGTAGTTGACATGAAAGGGCGTCCGCTTGACCATCGTAAGGTGGCGCTGTTTGGGGTTTGTTTACGCATAATAGGTTAGCGGATTAAAGTAACATTATCTGTAAATAAGGATTAGCGTTAGTTACATATCGTTATGCATTAAATATGGCGGATTATTTTTACCGCCAGCGTAACAAATATTTGGGCTGTCGTAATCTTTTACACATTAACGGTAGGTCTTGGATAGGTGTAAATAAAATTTACACATCGGTCCCTAATCCAGATCAGGACGCAGTAATTACGGCGGCCAAGTGTCAGACATAATCTAATACTCTGTATTTGAACTAAACTTGTTAAAAGTATGTTTTATGTTGCTAACAGAGGTGTGATTTCTGACTGCGGGTAAGAGACAATCACACCACGAAAAACTAAGGCCTTGCTGCTGTATGCCAAAAAAAACATTGCATAATAATGTAATCATGAGATAACTAATTAATCTGCCGCTAAGACAATATAAATCTTGTCATTTTAATCAGCAATCCTCTGTTCGTGGATTGGCTGGCTGTACAGACACGTGACTTTCACAGGGTAGGACATAAAACACGGGTCTTTGTCAATCATACACTTTTGACGACAGCTGTCTACGGCAGTTTTCTATAATGGACATCTCAATGGATCCGTGGTTCGAATTCATCAAGCCTGGAAAGCGTTGGTATGGGACGATCTTCATCCCGCAAGACACGCCTATAACCACGAGCAGATTCTCTACCGACTCCGAGACCAGATTTGGAATATGGCTAGCTTCTCCATCTGGGGTGACTACTACACGCCACTTTTTGCCTACACCCAGCTAGACTATAATTATATCATTGACGTGCTGAAACGTGACTTCCCTGAAGTCAAGTTTTTGGTGATAAAGCGGCTTCAAAGTCTATGTAGAAATAACACTAAACAGGCTCTGAATTCCAGGACCGGCCTTGTAGGATACGCAAGTTTATGTTGTTCATCAGGAACTCCATTAGTAAAAACAACAGTTCCTTACTACTCTTCCTGGATCATGGAGTCCTGTACATCAAAATGACATCATGATAACTTACATGTAACTATTCGACCTCCATTACTTGATAACTACAATACTATATTATATAACAACAACACAATGTTTACTTAATGACTACAATGTATACAACACAACAATATAACAACTACACTATGATTACGTAATCATAGTGAACTTTATTGACACAACAAAAGTACAGCGACTTTCGTATGGTCATAGAAAACAAAACTTGATACCAATTACTAATGAACACAAAACCTGTAACGAGGTAAAATCATTTCGAGGTAGGACAAGTAGACTTTACTTATTCAATACTTGTCAATGTTTTCATTTATGTTAAATCATCACCACCAAGGTCTTAGGACATCGCTTTTCACTATGGACTGCTGTGCTTTAGGTACATTTATTGTTTGTTTGTTTGTTTTTATTTGTTTACCCAGGGTGTACATATCGCCACTAAGGCGTTTTTCAATGTGCCCTGCAGTCATACATGAATAAAATATACAAGAAAATAACAGATATAACAAAATGATAAGTCAACTTATAAGTACAAATTAAAGTCAACTTAGTACAAATAAAAGTAAAAGTACTATATAATGCCGCAACTCAGTAAGGTGGTAATAAAACAAACTTGCCAAACCAAGAGCCACAACTCATAGGAATAAAGGCAATAATACAAAAACAAACTAGAAAGGCCAATATTTGCTTTGGAGCAAATACAGGGATGGGTTCACCACATTTTACGACATGGCAGGGAAAGAATGAGAAACACAAGGGAAAACAATGATTTACATTGATATAACTATAATATGAAGTAACATACGACTAAAACAACAGTTGGATAGCTATTCCCTACTTTATTGGTTAGGATTTTTAATTGCATAATGCAAACTGTTGATTTTCAAAATAAAAATAACGTTCATGCCCCGCATTCCAATGCTGGAGCAGGAAAGCTTGAAATACCTACCAAAACACTTGAATACAGACATACTGTCAGTATGGAAATGCTCTGTGCAGGTGTTAATCAAGTTAAATCCCAACAGCCAATCAGCAAGAAATGCTCTGTGCAGGTGGAAATGCTCTGTGCAGGTGTTAATCAAGTTAAATCCCAATAGCCAATCAGCAAGAAGAATAGAGGAAAGCTGCATGCCTATTGGTTGATGCCCTGCATTCCATTGTGATGACTCATACCCAAACAAACATGGTAAACATGGCACACTAACACAGTAATACATTTGCTATAACACAGCCAAAAAACTCAAATAAAACCATTCTAAAAGCCTGTATCACAAAAATTTAAAAAACGCCTAGGGGTATTTGCCCACTGTACCTCCATACCAAATTTCAGGACCTGAGGCCCTAAAATGAAGAAGCTGAATCCATTTAAAAAATGACAGGAGAAGAAGGAGGAGGAGAAGGAGAAGGAGAAGAAACACCAGAAAAAGCAATATGGTTTCACCTCACCACTTCGTGGTGTGGTGAACCCATAATCAAGGAAATAACAAAGGAATATAACAAAGGAATTTGCATATCAATGCTGTTTGATAACAAGTTATGATGTGGCAACACACTACTTGTTGTAAAGGCGCTTAAAGGAAGAAACAGAATCTGCTCTTTTTAAATGAGGTGGGAGTGAGTTCCATAATGTGGCACCAGTACAAGAGAAGGATTTCTTTTTATATTGATATTATATTTATGATCATTTATTGGATCATAAATGCAATGCGTTTTGTTCATCTGGTAAAATTATTTGTTGGCCTTTCATTCAAACTGTCAGTTCTTGTCTCCTGACTAATCGTGCACCTAGCGGCCCAGACGGGGAAAGACTCAGCCCCAAGCCCCGCCCACTGCAATAGGTCTCATGACAAGACAAGACAATACGTTACGTGCCAAGAGTTGCCAAGACAACTTCTCCCTCTTCCGAGTCACGTCTTCAGTTCGAGCTCAGACAACGCGCGCGCAAGCTGTGTCTACAACGACAGCGGTCAAAATGGCTGAATACGCGAATGAAGATCTGCTGTATACTGCTAATATCGGCTACCTTGAAGGCGTGGAAGCAGCTTTAAAAGCAGGTAAGCTAGCGTATACGTACACAAGGCACCCAAGATTGCAAAATTGTTCTCCTCTGACGCAATGGTACCGAAGTAACGGGTTCCTCACTGGTCACCCAGTGCCGAAATCGCGGGGAAAGTGGCGTCGGCACTCGGGGCCCTGTCACCCCCATGAAACTCCTTCCTCTTCGCCCCCGCCGTTCTGCTTCGCCCCGCCCGTCCTGCTTCGCCCCGCAAAAATCTGCTTCGCCCCGTCGTTCCTCTACGCCCCCGGCGCAATTCTGCTTTGCCCCCGTCCTTCTGCTTAGCCCCCAATGGCGGCACAGCTCACAGTCGACACGAAAATCGTCTGCAAAATAACAATAAAGGCTGTGCCGCCAAATTTAAAGTAGCCCATGCTCCGGCAAACATTCTGGACCACCTTTCTGCCAAGTGGCGTTGCACAAATCCTTCCCATTCAAAAGTTTACCCCTACCTCACGGCCCGTCAGTGGTTCTTACGTTTATAAGTACTGGCGGGAAATTTCACTCACGGCTGGACAGACGCTAGGCTGATCGCCATGGAAGGTGGGTACTAATTAAAGCCAACTTGGATAATGGCGGGATTTTGTATCAGCCAATTGAACAGTAACTAATCGTGTTCCTTTTGATACAAGTAGACAATAGTAGAAAAATGACAGCTATCAGTAATAGCGTTAAGTTAAAGATTGTGCTGCAAATACTAAGTAGAATTTATAAGGCAATACCTTGCTGTGTGAGGTGACATGGATTTAGAATGCTGTGTAAAAACTAGACGAGACCACTGACGGGCCGTGAGGTAGGGGTAAACTTTTGAATGGGAAGGATTTGTGCAACGCCACTTGGCAGAAAGGTGGTCCAGAATGTTTGCCGGAGCATGGGCTACTTTAAATTTGGCGGCACAGCCTTTATTGTTATTTTGCAGACGATTTTCGTGTCGACTGTGAGCTGTGCCGCCATTGGGGGCTAAGCAGAAGGACGGGGGCAAAGCAGAATTGCGCCGGGGGCGTAGAGGAACGACGGGGGCGAAGCAGATTTTTTGCGGGGGCGAAGCAGAACGGCGGGGGCGAAGAGGAAGGAGTTTCATGGGGGTGCCTGTGCGGAAGGAAACTCCGCACAGGAATTCTAGTGCTGTGCGGATTTTTTTCCAGTGCTGAAGCTCCGCCAGAACTGGAATTCCAGAGCTGAAACTTGACTTGGCACTCGTTTTCCAGTGCTAAATTCCACTCGGCACTCGCTTGCCAGAGCTCGGAGGCCGACATACTCTTTAGTCTATTTCTACTATCAAAGTTAAGATTTTACGCAAACTGTAAATCCATGTCAAACATAGTGCGATATCTTGCAGATTTCGAACTACGCTCAGCCATTAGCAAAATTAGGGTTAGCGCCCATCCACTGGAAATAGAGAGAGGCTGGTATAGAAGATTGCCTTTGTGTAAGTGCACAAGCTGTGGAAGACGAAATACACGTCATCTCAAACTGTTCGTCTCATAACAACGCTCGAAAATAGTTGTCTGCCATCTCAATTTCTTCACTTACAAAGAAAAACTATTCTGCCCTTAACTGCCCAAAACCCACAAATTTTGGAAAAGGTGGGACATCACGTCTTCCATAGTATGCAAAGGAGAAGTCAAACCCTTCGGACATAGTTCTAGACATAGCTATAGCCTTAGACTATTAGTACCTTTTATTATGTAGATTTTGCATTTATTTTGTACTCTGTTTCAATGTTAACGTTCTTTATCCTTTGTTCTTTGCAATTAGCCTTCGGGCATGAATTTTCTTTTAAACTCCAAGCAGATATATGAAGCAAGTTTAAACTGTAATACCCAACACAAGAAATTGGACTCACATATCCAACACAACAAATTGGACTTACCCAAATTTTCGACTGTACAACTCCAGTCTTTGTCAAGGAATGAACAATCCATCGCTTCTGTGACGTCATGCAGATAACACACGTGACTCCGTGAGCAGTGGATCATAGGTTGCAGAAAGTCTGTGGCGCCCCCCGTCTCTGTTGAGGGATGGTTGTAATGCCCTGATGTAGATGGCCTCTTTAATCCCTCGTGCAAACAAGTTCAGTTCTGAGTCCCAGATTCTTACTTTGTCCAGTGAGACTGAATGTCCAGGCGATTCTATATGTATATGTTGTGAAACCTCCGAAGTAGTCGAGCTAGGTCATTTGTGTTCTAGGTCCAAACAGATTTCTTCGGGGGCAATGGGGGTTTATTGCCTCCGAAGAAATCTGAAGGAACGTCGAAGGCTGATAGAGGATACCATAGGATCTGCTCGGAGATCACAATAAGTACACGTTGCGCGTAGGCCCGGGACAGGTTTGAACCCATTCACACCGGGAAGGACCCGTAACTGTTTTTGAGCAGTGTGGTTGACCCTCGAGGTGTGGCTCTCCTGTTTATTTGTTTATTGGTTTGGCTGGTACAAGACAGCCAGGGTAGCCCAACTAGCTAGAAGCTATTACTAAGGGCATGCCTTGGGAAAAAATGTGGTTAAATACATAAATTATGGTCATTAATATATACAGATTACATATAATACAATAAAATTATTACATACCGTACAATTGGTGCAAATGGAATACATGTGTGTGCTGTCTTATACAGAAAACTGGTCTCCAAGGGAGAGCCATACTTTAGCTTTGAATAATGCTAGGGATGGAGCTGTCTGAGTGTCCTGTGGAAGAGAGTTCCACAGTTGGACGGACCTGTAGAAGAAGGTTTTTTGTGTTCTGACACTTTTGGGGGCTAGCGAAGAAAGGTGGCTCTCCTCAAACACTAGTCCCCACCAGACTACTTTGCAGGCTGAATGAATAGTAGAAATCGGCCTACAAAAAAAGGTAGTTGACCAGGGGAGATGGCCGGCCAGAGAAGCCCCATTGGCCTGCACGGATCTTTTCAGGCCTATTTCTACTATTATTCAAACTGCAAAGGAGTCTGGTGAAGACTACTCATACACGGAGCCTACAGCTTTACGTCCCATCCGAGAGGACGTCCTGTATGAATGAAATGAATGAATGGAACTCTATTTTCGTATCGTGCACTTTCCCGCGCCCAGCCCGTGTGGGCTTATACGACACCGTTTGAGTATAAATAATACATAAACAAAAGAGAATCAAAGGTACAGATAACAGAATCCAAACAAAAGATGAACACAAATAAAGTTAGGCTATATACAATAATGGTGAACAAAGTGAACTCATAACAGATCATAAATGCAAATAAACAAATCTGTACATAATGAACCAAGATTTCACAAAATAAATACAAGTACATAAGATAAATGAAATATAATGACAATGGCAATGTCAATGACGATGAACTTTATTGCATGTTCACGCCCTACACGGGCCAAATGCACTTAAGTTAAATAGCTTGGTAACAAGAATAGAAGAAGCAATTGTTACATTCGTGTGCTATTTCTCTAGCCTCCTTCGCAGTCTTGTTGGGCGTCGGCGTTATTTTTTCTCTGAGCAACGCGAGTAATATGCGGCCGCGAGGGACGATTTGCTGCCGAGGGAGTTTTTGCCACGGAGAGAAGGTTTCCCGCTCTATTACTCGCGTTGCTCAGAGAAAAGATAACGCCGACGCCCAACAAGACTGCGAAGGAGGCTACTATTTCTCTATCTACAGGATCTAACTACAGGACCTCTTCTCTCTTTTTGAAACATGTATGAACAAATTTACATAGTTTTTCAATTATATCATAGCGCTTGGATGTCATAATATGTTTGAACAATTCTATTTTCGGCAAGTATGCAAATTTCTTTTTTAACTGTAAGGAGCTAATAAAGGATTTCCGGATTTCATTGTATACCGCACATTCTAAAACAAAATGTGCTTCATCCTCTATACAGTTATAGTTACATAGATATATAATAAGAGAAAAAAACGTGCAGGAGTAACAAAAGGTGAAAAACTGTTAATGTGTTACGAATACAGATGTTTTCTTCTTTTCCCCCACGCTCGATAAATGAAAGTTGCTAGGTCAGATACACCCTCGCTAAAGAGCCACTTCATTCTATTTTCATCTTTTTCCCATATGATATCAGGTGATTTTGTATAAATTTTACGAAACATATTTTCTCGAAGATTATCATAAAAGGGACAGTAAAGAAGAAAATGTGTTTCGTTTTCTGCTTCCTGTAAATTGACTGTCTCGTGTTTGACTTTAACTAACTATAAGGCCATGTTGATTTGATTATATGGATGACATCCGCGCGCGCATG